AATATGGAATGCGAAATTTTTCATGTTCTTATGGCTCTTGCGTAAATAACTTCTACATATGACGCGTTCGCATTGTATCTTCGTACCAAGTCAGAAAAACATACATGAACTTTGAGAGGTACTGGTATTTGCAGTCTATGGTAGAATGAAATAGGATCATAATAAACTCGGTCATGGGGAATTGTTTTCTTCCGTGAAAAAAGTCGTTTTTGAGTCGTTTTAAGTATAGTAAAGAAAGGTACAAAACTTTGTTATGCATTCTCATTTTAAAAATCAAAGAAGCGAGCTCAGTTTTTTCAATTTTTCAATTCTTAGTGACCATTGAATAAAAGAGTATATAAGGAGGTAAATATTTGTACTATCTTGTTTCGATAGGATGAAGACCACAAAAGAAAGCTTAAGCTTACGCAGTGGTATATATATATACCCGGCTGAACACATTTTCACTCATTTCTTTGTTGTTTCGATTTCTGTTCCCGTCATACACTACTATTAAATATTTGTCAGAAATCACTGTGAATCGCCTTCCGAAGGGAATGGGTTGGTGATCCAAAGATAAAATGAGGCAGCTAGTTGTAATTATTTCCCTGCTCATCCTATTCAATTACTCCATATTTGGGGGGAAATTTACTGTGAATCGCTGATCAACTTGAGCGGAGTGACGCGATCCTAACTGCAGAAAATGTGTGATTCTCCCCAGAGCCTGCTACTTAANCTGAATGGCGGGGTTGGTTCAGTGGCCTAGTGGTAAGGCATCTGACCGGTAACCAGGAGACCCGGGTTCGATTCCCGGCTGAACACATTTTCAGTCATTTCTTTGCTGTTTCGATTTCTGTTCCCGTCATACACTACTATATATGTATATATATATATGTAGGCCTTATGACCGAGAGGGACCGACCCAGAGAAGCCACAGGGTGTGCACGAAAAAAAATCGTTCTTTAAACCGGCCTTCAGTTCTGACTAATGGTTTTGCTTGTTTGCTCGGCTGACAAAGGACTCAAAACTGAACTTTCTGGGCCAGCAAAACTCGGCAGCGAGACTGTGAAAATGCACAAACGACTGTCAGTATTGTAGCTGTTGGGCTATTTATACAAAAACAAAATTAGTGATTCGCCGAGGCGAGGATAAACTGTATTTCTCAGCTCCGTAGACTTGAGTACCAGTTTGTAAGGTTTAAGAGAATAAAAAGATTTCTCCGTGCAGCGGGTGTACCATAGAAACTGCGGGCTGTAGCTGGGCTCAGTTTGTTCTGTAGTCAAATTCTGGT